CATTTTCTGTCTGCAAATGTGACATCATCAGTGGCGTGCACAGACTTTTTGAAGGGCAGGGGTGGAAAGAAAAAAAAGGGCACATACAGTGCGTCCTCACCACTGTAGAGGGCACTTTACACACGTTTTATATGTTATACTAATGGCACATTATAGAGCCTTAAAACAGAATAACTAGACAGACTACTCAGGTTAGTTGGATCAGCATCCACCAGAACTGTTTGGATTCCAACGTTGGACCGTGAAGAACACACAGCGACATGGATGTATGAAGGACATCAATCCCCAGGGGGTCCGGGGGTCTTTCACCAATTAAGTAGAAGCCATTTCCTGTATTCTAGTGCATTTTAACACCATATTAACACCAGATAATCCAAACTGCTTCTGTGAGATATAGTTCTGACTCAGTATAGATCAACAAAGGGCCCAACATTAAAGTCACTGCAGCAGTAATGTGTCATAGAGAATCAGACAGTGTGCACTCCTGAATGCTGGGTTTTCAACAGCAACAAAAGAAACTGAATTAAAATAAAACAATATCAAAGCTTAAGCCACAGCTGTTGGAAAGGTGTGAGACACATTTACTGCTCCGTGGAATAAACTGGGCTCATTCATGGCTCTAAAAGGAGCTAGCCTAAATGTATCGAGCCTTCACACAATTCAGGAAACCTGCTTTGACTGCATTATCTCTTTTTATTGTAAAGTGTATCCTAATATACAGTAAAGCTACATTCACAGTTTATATTGCTCACCCAGCTCTGTTCTACTGAGCTGATCATCACACTGGTCTCTCTCTCAGCTAGCTGCTAGCATTAGCCACTAGCCTACTCAATAGCATTAGCCTAACAAGACTTTCTGTCCTTAACTTTCAAGCTGAAGTTTAAAAGGCATTTTCAAGAAAGCATTTTTAAAAATGATCCCAGATGCTAACCCTGGTGGGGAGTCAACTTAAAGCTGGTGGAAACCCTGATATGTAATGCTAACCCAACTTTGAACTTTACTGGCTAGCTTTGAAAAGCTAATCCCACAAGACGTAGTGAGCTAGCTCCTCCTGAAACAAGCAACAGGCTCTACCTGATAACAGAGCTTACAGGAGGGCAGCTGAGTGTCTTTAACACCCAAAAGGGCAATTTAGTGTATTTTGCCTCCCAATAGGACACTTTAGTGAGTTTCGGCTCCCAAGAGGGCACTTCAGGGCAGTTTAGCACGCGTTTTTCAACAATTGGGCCACGAGGGGGGGCGACGTATGTTACGTCATACCAAGGGCTGAGGGGAAGTGAACGAGGAGAAGTGGAACTACTAATGAAACACAGACAGGTACAGGTAGGTGTCTCTCTCTCTGGCAGACAGCAGTAAGCAGCATCAGACAGCAGGGGAAGCTCCTCTGTCAGCACAGCAGCATGCTGGGAGGAGGGAGCTCTTGTGAGCTCAGTGGCCAGCATATGCAGCTGTCTGTCTGTCTGTCTGTCTGTCTGTCTGAATGTGTCCTTCTGTTTCCTCTTCAGTTTTATTAACACTGCTTCAGTTCACATGTTTATTCACAGATGAATATTTAATAAAGGTTATAAAACCCTCTGAGCTCTGTGTCTGTTAGTGTCTGTTGGTGTCTGTTAGTGTCTGTTGGTGTTTGTTGGTGTCTGTTAGTGTCTGTTGGTGTCTGTTAGTGTCTGTTGGTGTCTGTTAGTGTTTGTTGGTGTTTCTTGGTGTCTGTTAGTGTCTGTTAGTGTCTCTTAGTGTCTGTTAGTGTTTGTTGGTGTTTGTTAGTGTTTGTTGGTGTCTGTTAGTGTTTGTTAGTGTCTGTTAGTGTCTGTTGGTGTCTGTTAGTAATTGTTGGTTTTCTTGGTTTTGTTAGTTTTGTTGGTGTCTGTTAGTGTCTGTTAGTGTCTGTTGGTGTCTGTTAGTGATTGTTGGTGTTTGTTGGTGTCTGTTAGTGTTTGTTGGTGTCTGTTAGTGTCTGTTAGTGTCTGTTGGTGTCTGTTAGTGTTTGTTGGTGTTTCTTGGTGTCTGTTAGTGTTTGTTGGTGTCTGTTAGTGTCTGTTGGTGTCTGTTGGTGTCTGTTAGTGTTTGTTGGTGTTTTTGGTGTCTGTTAGTGTTTGTTGGTGTCTGTTAGTGTCTGTTAGTGTTGTTGGTGTCTGTTAGTGTTTGTTGGTGTCTGTTAGTGTCTGTTGTGGTGTTGTTAGTGTTTTTGGTGTTGTTAGTGTCTGTTGGTGTCTGTTGGTGTCTGTTAGTGTCTGTTGGTGTTTGTTGGTGTCTGTTAGTGTCTGTTAGTGTCTGTTGGTGTCTGTTAGTGTTTGTTGGTGTTTCTTGGTGTCTGTTAGTGTCTGTTAGTGTCTCTTAGTGTCTGTTAGTGTTTGTTGGTGTTTGTTAGTGTTTGTTGGTGTCTGTTAGTGTTTGTTGGTGTTTCTTGGTGTCTGTTAGTGTCTGTTGGTGTCTGTTAGTGATTGTTGGTGTCTGTTGGTGTCTGTTAGTGATTGTTGGTGTTTGTTGGTGTCTGTTAGTGTTTGTTGGTGTCTGTTGGTGTCTGTTTGTGTCTGTTGGTGTTTGTTGGTGTCTGTTGGTGTCTGTTGGTGTCTGTTAGTTTGTTGGTTTGGTGTCTGTTAGTGTTGTTGGTGTTTGTTGGTGTGTTAGTTGTGGTTTGTTTTTTGTTGTGTTAGTGGTGTTGGTGTCTGTTAGTGTTTGTTAGTGTCTATTAGTGTTTCTTAGTGTCTGTTAGTGTCTCTTAGTGTCTGTTAGTGTTTGTTGGTGTCTGTTAGTGTTTGTTTGTGGCTGTTGGTGTTTGTTGTTGTCTGTTAGTGTCTGTTGGTGTTTGTTAGTGTTTGTTAGTGTCTATTAGTGTTTCTTAGTGTCTGTTAGTGTTTGTTAGTGTTTGTTGGTGTCTGTTAGTGTTTGTTGGTGTCTGTTAGTGTTTGTTTGTGTCTGTTGGTGTTTGTTGGTGTCTGTTAGTGTTTGTTGGTGTTGTGTTTCTTAGTTTGTGTCTGTTAGTGTCTGTTAGTGTTTGTTTGTGTCTGTTGGTGTTTGTTGTTGTCTGTTAGTGTCTGTTGGTGTTTGCTGGTGTCTGTTAGTGTTTGTTGGTGTTTGTTAGTGTCTGTTAGTGTCTCTTAGTGTCTGTTGGTGTCTGTTAGTGATTGTTGGTGTTTGTTGGTGTCTGTTAGTGTTTGTTTGTGTTTTGTGTTGTTGTGTTGTGGGGTTTGTTGGTGTTGTTGGTGTTTGTTGGTGTCTGTTTGTGTCTGTTAGTGTCTGTTGGTGTTTGTTGGTGTCTGTTAGTGTTTGTTAGTTTTGTTGGTGTCTGTTTGTTTGTTATGTCTGTTAGTGTCTGTTGGTGTTTGTTGGTGTCTGTTAGTGTTTGTTGTGTTTGTTGTTGTGTGTGTTGGTGTGTGTTGTTGTGTTTGTTGTGTCTGTTGTGTTTGTTGGTGTTTGTTTTTGTTAGTGTCTGTTAGTGTTTGTTGGTGTCTGTTAGTGTTTGTTGGTGTTTGTTGGTGTCTGTTAGTGTTTGTTGGTGTTTGTTGGTGTCTGTTAGTGTGTTGTGTTTGTTGGTGTCTGTTAGTGTTTGTTGGTGTCTGTTAGTGTTTGTTTGTGTCTGTTGGTGTTTGTTGGTGTCTGTTAGTGTTTGTTGGTGTTTCTTAGTGTCTGTTAGTGTCTCTTAGTGTCTGTTAGTGTTTGTTTGTGTCTGTTGGTGTTTGTTGTTGTCTGTTAGTGTCTGTTGGTGTTTGCTGGTGTCTGTTAGTGTTTGTTGGTGTTTGTTAGTGTCTGTTAGTGTTTGTTGGTGTTTGTTAGTGTCTGTTAGTGTTTGTTAGTGTCTGTTAGTGTTTGTTAGTGTCTGTTAGTGTTTGTTGGTGTCTGTTAGTGTCTCTTAGTGTCTGTTGGTGTCTGTTGGTGTCTGTTGGTGTTTGTTAGTGTCTGTTAGTGTTTGTTGGTGTTTGTTAGTGTCTGTTAGTGTTTGTTAGTGTCTGTTAGTGTTTGTTAGTGTCTGTTAGTGTTTGTTAGTGTCTGTTAGTGTTTGTTGGTGTCTGTTAGTGTTTGTTAGTGTCTGTTGGTGTCTGTTGGAGTTTGTAAGTGTCTGTTCGTGTTTGTTAGTGTCTGTTAGTGTTTGTTAGTGTCTGTTGGTGTCTGTTAGTGTTTGTTTGTGTCTGTTGGTGTTTGTTGGTGTCTGTTAGTGTCTGTTGGTGTTTGATAGTGTCTGTTAGTGTTTGTTGGTGTCTGTTAGTGTCTGTTAGTGTTTGTTGGTGTCTGTTAGTGTTTGTTGGTGTTTGTTGGTGTCTGTTAGTGTCTGTTAGTGTTTGTTAGTGTTTGTTGGTGTCTGTTAGTGTTTGTTGGTGTCTGTTAGTGTTTGTTGGTGTCTGTTAGTGTCTGTTAGTGTCTGTTAGTGTTTGTTAGTGTTTGTTGGTGTCTGTTAGTGTCTGTTGGTGTCTGTTGGTGTTTGTTGGTGTTTGTTGGTGTCTGGCCGTGTTTGTTGGTGTCTGTTAGTGTCTGTTAGTGTTTGTTGGTGTCTGTTAGTGTTTGTTGGTGTCTGTTAGTGTCTGTTAGTGTCTTTTAGTGTTTGTTAGTGTTTGTTAGTGTGTGTGTGTTGTTGGTGTTTGTTGGTGTTTGTTAGTGTCTGTTAGTGTTTGTTGGTGTCAGTTAGTGTTTGTTGTGTTTGTTGGGTGGTGTGTTGTGTTGTTGTGTTGTTGTTTGTTGTGTTTGTTGGTGTTGTGGTGTGTGTTGTGGTGTTGTGTGTGTGTTGTTGGTGTTGTTGGTGTTTGTTGGTGTTGGTGTTTGTTGGTGTGGTGGTGTTGTTGTGTTTGTTGTGTTTGTTGTGTTGTTGGTGTTGTGTTGTTGTTTGTTGTGTTTTGTTGTTGTGTTTGTTGTGTTTTTTTTTGTTGTGTTTGTTGGTGTTGTTGTGTTGTTGGTGTTGTTGTGTGTTGGTGTTGTTGGTGTTGTTGTGTTGTTGTGTTGTTGTGTTTGTTGGTGTTGTTGTGTTGTTGGTGTTGTTGTTGTTGGTGTTGTGTGTTGTGTGTTGGGTT